AACCCGGGAGGCGGAGCTTGCAGTGAGCTGAGATCCGGCCACTGCACTCCAGCCTGGGTGACAGAGCGAGACTCCGTCTCAAAAAAAAAAAAGAAGCAGGGTCTAATCGTATCACCCAGGCTGGAGTACACTGGTGCAATCACAGCTCACCACAGCCTCACACTCCTGGGTTCATGCAATCCTCCTGCCTCAGCCTCCCAAAGTGCTAGGATTAGAGCGTGAGCCATGGCACTCAGCCTGCAGGAAAGCTCTTGACCCAGGCCTGGCCACTCAGTGAATTACAGACCCCTGAATACACTGAAAATCTTGGTGTGGTGCCCAGTCCCTAGCACAACATTAAGGCAGGGACGTGCACTCCTATTCCTGGCCACTTTCCTGAGACAGGGCAGAGACGAGCCAGGGTAGGGGAGCAAACAGACTAGGCAGCCAGCCCCTCAGTTGCAGCCCAGAGTTGGAAGTGACAGAGCCTTCATCACCTGCTGATCTAGGTCTCATCACTCCCCAGGAGCCGTCCACCCAGCCCTAGACTGTTATCAGTAATAATTTGGGGCCGGGCATGGGAGCTCACACCTGTCATTTTAGCACTTTGTGAGACCAATGCAGGAGGATTGCCTGAGACTATAAGTTTGAGACCAGTCTGGGCAATATAGTGAGACCTCACCTTTAATGAATGATAAATAAATAAATAAATAAAAATACAAAAATATGCTGGGAGCAGTGACTCACGCCTGTAATCCTAGCACTTTGGGAGGCCGAAGTGGGCAGAACGCAAGGTCAGGAGTTCGAGACTAGCCTGGCCAACATGGTGAAAACCAGTCTTTACTAAAAATAAAAAATTGGCCTGGCACGGTGGCTCACGCCTGTAATCCCAGCACTTTGGGAGACTAAGACAGGCAGATCACGAGCTCAGGAGTTTGAAATCAGCCTGAACAACATGGTGAAACCCCGTCTCTACTAAAAATACAAAAATTATCTGAGCATGGTGGCAAGCACCTGTAATCCCAGCTACTAAGGAGGCTGAGGCAGGAGAATCGCTTGAACCATCCTGGTTAACACGGTGAAACCCTGTCTCTACTAAAAATACATAAAATCAGCCGGGCTTGGTGGCACATGCCTGTAGTCTCAGCTACTCAGGAGGCAGGAGAATCCGGGGAGATGAAGGTCACAGTGAGCCAAGATCATGCCACTACACCCCAGCCCGGGAGACAGAGTGAGACTCTGTGTTTTAAACAAACAAATAAATAAATAAATAAATAAATAAGGCCAGGCGCAGTGGTTCACGACTGTAATCCCAGCACTTTGGGAGGCCGATGGGGGCGGATCACGAGCTCAGGAGTTCGAGACCAGCCTGACCA